AAAATATGAAATTCAGTTTGGAATTGAGTGAACACCATGTGTTGAAAATCTTTCACAATTTTAGGCACTTCATCTCTAGATCGCATAGGGTAAACCCAAGTGTATCTAGAGTAATCATCGTTCAAGGTAATGAAGTACTTATATCCAGCCTCAGTAGGTAGAGTAACAGGGCCCCAAACATTAGAATAAACGATATGAAACGGAAATTCAAATCTTTTATTTCTCAAAGAAAAAGAACTTCTACAATGTTTACTCAATTGACATGTCTGACACTGGAACTGACAAAGACTCAAACGACTTTGGAAAAATAACTTTTAATGACTCAAAAGAAAGATGACCAAGACGACTATGCCGTAAATAGGCTTGACTCTCACTGGACAAACTCAAGGACTTAGTAGCCACAAGACCAACTTTATTCTCCAACACGTAGAGACCATCCACCCTGCTTCCTCTACCAATCGTCTTGCCCGAGGCCAAATCCTTAAACACACATAAAGACGGAAAGAAAGTAACTGAACAATTCAAGGAGTGAGTAATACTACTAATGGAAAGAAAATTTATAGGTAGTTCAGGAACATGAAGTACATTAGAAAGGGTAAGGCCGAGTGGGAGAGATATGGTTCCTTGGTCGGCAATGGTGGAGAAAGAACCATTAGCTAGTCTCACCTTATCTCTCCTAGAGAGAAGGTTGTATGCTTGAAATAAATTTGACTTACCAGTCATGTGGTTTGAGGCTCCAGAGTCAATTACCCAAGGAGAATCAGAGGTATGAGATGGCACATGGAAAGCAGTGGCAGTGTTGCCTGATGTAGACGTGAAAGAGATAGGAGTAGGACCAGAATCCATCTGGCAAAGAGTCCTACCATATAACTCCAAATGGTCACGAAAGGAGTTGATAATCTCTTCCTTAGGGTCAGAAGTGGGATCCTTTCCTGAGTTATCATCGGACTAGTCTCTTGAGATTCCATATTAGCTGAGTTGTACTTTTTCTGATTCTACTGAATTGGTTTCTTACCCTGATCAGTTGTTGACTTGTCTTCTGGCAGTGAGTGCACCAAAGTGTACTCTTATCTTCTGTTATCTTTTGAGAATCACCCTTCTTAAAAGAACCTCCGACATTAGTGTCTGTACTTCCCCTGACAGCTACGGCAACTGGCTCCCCCTTTGTACAATTCATCACACTTCTTCTACTCTCTTCTAACTGAACTAAGGCATAAACCTCCTAAACTGATGGCAAATCTTTACTTCCCAAGATCTTCTCCCTGATGGACTCATATGAAGGATTTAGCTCCAAGAGAAAAGCAAATACCCATTGTTGAGAGACAAGTGACTTGTATGCCTTTGCATCTTCATCACACTTCCAATTCACACTCTGGTAGTGATCAAGTTCTTTCCAGATCGATGTTAGATCTGAATAGTACATTGAGAGACTCCTCTCCCTTTGCTTGCAAGTAGAGGATTCAGCTTGCAGTTGGTATATCTTGGCATAGTGTCTCTGCTTTGAATAGGTGGACTTTGCTTGTTCCCATATTTCACAAGCAGTTTCAGCCCACATAAATGTCTTTCTTACATGTGGCAGCATGGAATCCAAGAGCCATGACATCACCATACTATTTTCTTGGTTCCACCTATCATATCCAACACTTCCGTTCTTCGGTTCCTTCACTCTCCTATTGATGTATCCTATTTTCCCCCTAGCAGTGATGTAGAGTTTTATTCCCTTAGACCATTCAAGGTAGTTCAGACCGTCAAAGGGAATAACAGCCATGGGGAAACTCATATCCATTCCTCCACTCACTCCATTTTGATTTCTTGAAACCCCTGAAGTAGCAGAATTCTCAGACGACATGGTCAACACAGAATTTTAGTCTAAACTCTCAACTTAGGATCCCTCCTTATATCAGAAAAAAATTGATCCACACACACTTCGGTTTTGGACTTAATCTGAGCACAAGAACAGCACCAGTTTCCAGAAAAAGAGTTATGATCAAACTGATTTTCAGACCTGTACGGGTTAACAGTCCCAGCCTACTAATTTTCCAGAAGGTCTACAAGCATTGATCATTAAGACAGATCCTTACACATGAAATCAAGCCAAAAAGCAGAGGAAACAGGTCATCCATGACTTACAGTCACCTTTTTCACAGGTACAGAGGATCACACGATCCAAAACAAAAGAGGTATAAACCTCACAAGGGTCTGATGACATTCAGTAGTTCAGATTCATTTGTTTTTTTTCTCTCTTGGTACACGACCAAGGAAAGAAAAGATCGACATGTTCAGATTCAGTAGGGCTATACCAGTCGCAGATCAGATTCGATCAACCCAGATTCAATCATCTGTTCCGCCCAGATTCAGCAACTTGAAGAAGAAACTTGATCACCCAGATTCAATAGCCTTGCTCTGATACCATCTTGGCAATAAAGCCGATTGAAAATAAGAGAGAAGAGAAGAAGAGAAGAAGAAAGATTGGAGGCAATAGAACAGTGCTGGTGGTGCCAGCTTCTTTTAGTATATATAGGGCGACTAAAATAAAATGGGAAAAGACCTTTGTGCCCCTGCTGTAAGTGAAGTACAATAACAGAAAAATAAAAAAGGCACCAACCAAACAAACCCTAACAAGACAAAATTAATAGACAAGATATAAAATAAACTATTTCAACAGGCTATATTTAGTTTAATTTTGATGGGAGTAGTGTAGGTAATTCAGGTCCTTCTGGCATTGGAGGCGTTTTTTTTTTTCTATTTTGAGAGAAGGTAACTTAAAGATTTATATTAAAGGTATACTGTAAGCATAGATTACAAGTATATCAAAAGATCGACATGTAGAGCCAGGAACTATACATCAGGATTCACAATAAAGATCCCAAAAAAGTCATCTCAAAAGCAACACCGAAAGGAGGTCTCGCGAAACTGAACGACTTATCTGACTACCCAAAAAGGAAGGCATAATTATTGTTTTATTGTCAGGCTCAATTGGTGTCGGGGATTCTTTAAGGGCTGAGATTATGTCTCTAGTGCAGGGAGTGCAAAAGGCAAAGGACATGAACAAAAGTAAGCTGATTATAGAAGGTGATTCAAAATTGGTTGTGGGATGGCTGCAAAAAAGGAGAAGCTGGACTTTGGAACTACAACAGTGAAAGAAAGAAATTCAAATGGCTGACACAAGATATGGATGTGAGACTTATGTGGGTTAAAAGAACTGCTAATGCCTTATCTGATTTTCTAGCAAAACATGGGTTGGGAAGAAACCAACTCTTTTGGACTCAATTGTAATTTTGTGCAAGTTTTTGAGGAGAGTGAAGAGGGTTTGTCTCTCCTCTTTTATTTGCACTAATTGTAATCTGTTTCAATAATTAATGAAATCTGCCGTTATTGATCCAAAAAAAAAAGCAGCAATAGGCTGCTACAAGTTTTAACATGCAAATATAAGAGAAAATAGAGAGCAAGTAAGAGTAGCTTCTAATATAGTTTCTTATTGTGGTAGAAACAATAAAAGAACTCTATTTGCTCCTTAGCATACAAAACAAAAGGGAAAGATATTATAGGAAAGAGGTCAGTATTGGGTTGCTTACTTTGTTGACCTATGATGTTTGCAGTTGCCACAGGTAGGTGCATCAGCTGAAAAGCTAAGAAGCTTATTTGAGAAAAGAAGTTTATGGTGTTTATGGTCACCTGACCCTATCATCATAATTTATCTTTTGTAAAGTTGTCTGGGGTTGGGTGGTTGGCTTAGGCGTTTGTAATGGACAATGCTTGCTGTTAGCAGTAGTTGTTTAAGGGCATGGTGGAGGTTGTTTTGATGTCTTTCTTCTCTTGGTTGACTTTTGTTCACCTTTCTTGTAATTTCTTTTTTTTTCTTTTAATAAATATTATTTTTACCTTAAAAAAAAGTTGTAGGTGTGAACAGACCTAATCTGCTCTTAATTAATGAAGAAAGAAAAATAGATCTTAAATAGAGAGAAAAGAGAAGAAGAAGACAGGAGAGTAGAGAAGAAAAGAACCGGGGCTGTGAATTCAGAAAAGATTGTAGAAGTGATCTCAACCAATGTTTTAAAATGTGGAGGCGTGACGCAAGGCGTTCCACTACCTAGAGGCGTGAGGTGTAGTTCAGAATGCAAGCGGCGTTAGCCTCCTTAAGAGGAGGGGGGTTAGGAGGAGGATGAAGAGGAAGGGGGGTTCTCACTTTTTTCTTTATTTTTTATAAAAATCTTTTATATTAAGAATAATAAAGATGCATAACATTAGTTGAAAGGGGGGTCTTGTTGAAGCGGATGCCTCCCATGCCTTTTAAAACACTGATCTCAACTGTTTAAATAATATGTAAGATTACATAAATACCCCTGTTTAAATAATAGTGACCCAATTGTCAACTCTAAAGAATAACAGAAATATAAACTTTGGATGGTAGGAACTCTAAACAAATTATATTATAGTAAAGATCAAAAGAAAATAAAAGTCCAGGGACTGTCCCTTTCTCTTATAAAGCTCGTTTCTTGTGACATCCTCTGTGGGTAAGATATTAAGTTAACAGTAGAATTAGTTAATATAGGAAAACAGTGGAATGTGGGATTTTTCTAGAGCTTAAAATGTTGCCTCTCTGGTCTTATTAAGATGACCTTGAACCTTCTGGTTTGGCTTTGCCATCTCATCCTACCAAACAATATCTGTCAGTTGCTCTCCATAACAAATCTCCATTGTCCATGTCGTTATAATTAAGCAGAAAATTTATCTCCTAAGTCCTTGAGATTACTGATAAAATATGCATATCATCATATTGTTATTTACAAACGCCTCTCCAATTCCTTGGATAATTTTTTTTTCTGGTATGTTTCTCTTTCATGTTTGACCATCTAATTAATCTGTAATGAATTTTTTTAGCATTAAAAATATTGCAGCAGATTTTTTTTTTCCTGTTATGTTCTCTTGCATGTTTTACCATCTCATTACTCTCTGTAATTAATTTGTTTGTGCACTATGTATTTCTATTTTGTTAACAGGGTTCTCAATCACATCAATCAACTGGAATATCAGACCATGGTAGTAGTGTGTTTAGTAGATTTAGAGCAAGGCACAATAAGACAGCCCCACTGGGCGAAGAAAACCTTGGCTGTCGTACTATTGATCTTCGCACTTCAACAATAAAGATTGATGCAGAACATACAGATCTGCGCCTTTGTTTCAGAATTATTTCTCCATCAAAAACATACACATTGCAGGTAGTTTGAGTGAAAAATCTGGTGGCATTTATTTAGATGGTTAGTCCTTGCCTTTGAAGCACTGACTTATTTGTTCATTTTGTTAGACTTGTATGCCTTTTATCTGGGGCCTAGCAGACATTTTTATCTATGCTAATTTTTTATTAACCTATCAAGAATACAGGATTGCAATCAGCCAAAGACAATCACATGAAATACATATTTTATTAATATAATTATCCAACCCATGTGATTGGAATTTTCACTAGGAGATGCTTGGAGGGTTGTCTCCAGAAGGCAATCAACCTAACATGATTGAGGAAATACAGGGAATTTGTGTATCTGCCTGTCTTACTATTTGCTCTCATTTGTGGCGTGTAACTTACACACATCTGCATTGAAATGAATTATTGAATTGGTGGAAACTGATTTAATCAATGTTATGGGCATTAATATTACTTTGGAATATTTTAGACCAACTAAAGTAAACATTATACTCAACATTTATTGTTGAGATATTAAATTGTAGAGGAAGTGCATGTTATGGCCTTTGATCATAATTTTCCAAAGTCTGATTGGTTAGTTTGTGAATTATTGCAATTAAACATGTATTACTCTGTTCTGAACCTTAGAAAAGGAAGTCTAATTAGTAAAGGAAGACTAATATAGTCATTAAAGTCCTACACCCAAGCCCTATACGTTTACAATTGCGAGCAATCACCATAGGATATCACTCTCTAGAGTATAGGGAATGTACGATTGGTGGGTTATTCATTTTTGTAGGTCCTGGAGCATCAAAGTCACTTTCTTGATGTCTAAAAGTGGTATTAGAGTAATTGGGTAGTGTTTATTCTGCTTCAAAATCTTAAAATTTGACGTGCATTTTCCTAGAAGATCTCTAAGTCATCATATGCATCTGACTTCTGTTTGACTTGCCTTGATTCAGTTGAACGCTTGAACTCAAGGTTAACTTCAAGTCAACCTTGTTCAAAGATTACTGTGCATCTTCTTCTACCCCCATCTCTTAACAACAGCCAATGAAGGGCTTGGGAAATATCTATTCATATAACACTGTAGAACCTTGTCCACATTTGTGCATGAATCCGGAAATTTATACCAGGTGGAGTACCCTCTAAGCATAGATCAAATCTTGCTTGAGTACTCTCTTATTCACAGTCAAATCTCACTGGATTACCTGCTGAATGGAAATTAAATCTCATTTTCTACTTGCTTTTATTTTATTGCTGCAAATTACTCTTTATAGAACCAATTAGCAATAAACTCATGGGAAAATCTATGATGTGGGAAAGATATGGTATGGAAAGAGTTTTGACCAATCAAAACCCACCCATGAATTTTGATAAATAACACCTTATTCACTACCACGTTTATGATTCCAGTTTATTTTTCAGTTGTTTTTTAGGATATCATATCTTTTCCATATCATAGTCAAACCCTAAACTCATGCAGTGCATGGGGGTCAATAGAAATTTGATCAGGTTTGGGTTGGAAAATTTGGGTTTTGACATCAGTTTGGGTCTAGACTGTGGTCCATATTTAGGTTTGACATCTAATTTAAACCCCTCCTTTAATAAAGATGATCAAAGGGGGTTTAAAAAGATTTAAGATGAAATGAAGGGTTTAATTGGGGAGAGATGTTATGAACATTGACTATTGGAGGGAGGGAGAGGAATTTTATTAGACAGTAGTTACACATTTTATTAGAGAAAATTAAGACCTAAGAGCGTTTTTATTGTGACTTGTTATATTTTAATAATTTAATTTAAAAATATATAACCACATTTCTAAGAGATGAGTGAGTCAAAGAGATGGTGCATATGAGCATTGAGGTAAGAGGACTCTTGGCCTTCCTCTTTCCTGTATCTAATATAGATATAGATATGATAATGTTATGCAGCAACTTTTCTTCACTTTTTCCTCTTCCTGTCACTGTAATGCCCATTAATTGTGATAGATCCTCAATTGACAGTGGTTAACAGTGACGGTCTTGTTGGTGGAATCAAGCCATCCATAGCCTAAATTGTTTCCCTGGTCTGTTCCTTTCATGGTTTTAAACCAGGCCACTAGACTTTTTTTCTATGGTAAAAATAAACTTTCATTAAAAGAAAAAAGAGATACGTCCTGATAGGTGATAAGGAATCATCACATACAAGACAAATTGCTAAAACTAATCATACAAGATACTCCAAATTACACAATTGAAACCCCAACACTTCTCCAAGATTAGTCCTTAGATTCTCCTTGGTGATTTGTCTAAATTCTGGTAGAATCACCCACACTGCAGTAGATCTACTAATTGCTGCCACAATCCTATCCATTGGACAAACTTTGTGTTCAACAAATTTCTTCTATGTCTCTCCTTCCAAATATTCTAACATATTGCAAGAGGTATTCCATTCCAGATTATTTTTTATTTTCTGCATCCACTTATCTTCGGCCATGAAGATAAATTTCTGCAGGTGATCTTGGATGAAAATCTCTGTATCTTTAACTCCTATGGATGGAATCTTTTGTCCTGCCCATAGTCGGATAATCCTAATGACTAAATGTCAGAAACCCAGTTGATACATACCAGTGTTTTAAAATGCGGAGGCGTGACGTGAGGCGTTCCACTACCTAGAGGCATGAGGCATAGTTCAGAACGCAAGAGGCATAAGCCTCCTGAACACAAGGAGGCGTAAGCCTCCTTAAGAGGAGGGGGGTTAGGAGGAGGAAGGGGGGATCTCATTTTTTCTTTATTTTTAATAAAAATCTTTTATATTAAGAAGAATAAAGATGCATAACATTAGTTGAAAGGGGGGGGTCTTGTCGAAGAGGAGGTGAGTGAAATGCCTTTTATTGAATTATCTCTATCTCTTAATTAGGAATAGTTACTAAGCTCTTGGAGTTTCTAAACAAAGATGCATCATGAGACACTCTGTGGTGGAGTGGTAGGTGTAGGTGTTGCAGCAGAAAACTTGGTAGAAATGCTATTGACAGTAGAGTTCTTTCCTTTCTTGTTAATCCTAGCTTGTTGCCAATGAGCTACTAACTATGATCTCTGTCATGAAGTTACTAGAAATGGGGCTGGGGGCAAACCACTTTCTTTCCCCTTATCTTTTCTTCCCTTCCCTTTCCTTTTCTTTTCTTTTCTCTTTCTTTTTCTTTCCCTTCCATTTCTTTTCCTTTTTTCTTTCTTTTTTTTTCTGTCTTTTTATATAAGATGTGCATGAGGCGTATGCCTCTAGCATGCCTCATGAAAAAAGCGCATGAGGCGTACGTCTCTTGCACCTGAGGCATATGCCTCAGAGGTGTCAGCGCCTCTGGCATACGCCTCAATGCGTTTTGGGAGTGCCTCACCTGGAGGCGTGCCTCCAGGCATACGCCTCCCACACCTTTTAAAACACTGATACATACTAGGTTTCTTCCATCACAACTGAGATCCTGATTCAAGGTGATTATTTCCCCACTTTCTTTGTCACTAATTGTTTTCCTGGTATGATTCTCACACAACATTCCCACTGAAGTATCCAAGCTAACTTGGTTCCATTGCATTAGCTACGATCCCTGATTTCAAAAGTTAAAGAATAAGACCACATAGTAATGCAGCTAATTTATGTCCATAACCTACCACCGAAGTTCTTTAATGATCAGTGGAATCTGCAAACTTTCATCGTTTTCTTAGGTCTAGAACCTCAGTAATACAGTCCAATACTATTGCTCATTTTTTATTATCAAACAAGTGTGATATTGACTTCCTAAACTGTACTTATAGTTGTTATTGGAAGAAAAAAGGGGCATGTTACATATGTTACCAGATCGTCTAAGACACAGTTTTCAATGGAAACAATGTATGAATGTAATTGGTCTTTATTCCCACTAGTAGTACTAGTAAACCCTTCGGACTGGTGAGATGTTGTTAGCTATAGATTCTAGAAGATATAGGCCGTCAGATTCATAATCATAAATCACTCCTAATCACTCTCCTTGAACCCAAGTCTTGCGTAAAAGGAATATTGAGGAAGGGATGTGATTCAGAACAGTAGTCGATCAAGACTACAATCAGTCTTGAATTCAAAAGAAAAAGAATGAAGAAATTTCAGAAGAGAAGAAGAGAAGGAGAGAAGAGAAAAAGCACACGAAGAGATTTTGGAAATGAGAGAGGGTTGGTCTTGACATCAGCCGACCCACTCTTAATATTTATATATGTTAACTAATTGTAAAAGGGCTGAATTGCCCTTATTGCTTACATTGAAAATAAACTAATAATAATGCTGAAATAACAAACTGAAATAACTACCAACTAACACTGACATAACTAACAAAAATGTGCTGCCATACGAACACAGTGGAGTCCACATCAGTGTTCTCTACGCTCCCCCTCAAGTTGGGAATAGATATTTGTCATTCCCAACTTGCATAGGTCTGCCTCTAACTTCTTCCTTGGAACAACCTTAGTGAGAAGATCTGCGAGCTGCATGCTGGAGGTGATATACGGGAGACACACTTCTTGAGATGAAACCCTTTCTCTGACAAAATGTCGGTTTACTTCAATATGCTTAGTTCTGTCACGCTATATCGGATTATGAGCTATATTAATAGCAGCCTGATTATCACAATACAACATTAAGGGCTTCTCATAAGCAATACCCAACTCTTCAAATAATGACTTCAGCCATAGGATTTCAGCCACACCATTAGCCATAGATCTATATTCAGCTTCAGCACTAGAACGAGAAACAACACTTTGTTTCTTACTCCTCCAGGAGTCATGGTTACCTCCTACAAAAGCACAATATCCAGAGGTAGACCTTCTATCATCATCACTCCCAGCTCAATCAGCATCTGTATAAACCTCTATCTTCATGTGATCATTATTTTTGAATAATATACCTCTTCCTGGACACCTCTTCAAGTATGCTAATATCCTCTCAACTGCAAGGAGGTGAGTAATTTTAGGAGAGTGCATATATTGACTGACAACATTGACTGCATAACTGATGTTCGGTCGTGTGAGACAA